GGTGTTTGAATGCACTGTTAGTGGATGTGGCTTGGCAAGGTAGATATTAAAAGACACAGTCCTACCGTGTATTTCTTGAACTGGGACAGTGTTTGCCTGTGGGCCAAGCTACATCAAACACAACGTGGTCTATTGAAGCATGCGATACTGCATGTACTGTGCGCCGTGTACATTGTACATGTCGGCATTCTGACCATGACGTCATCCAATCAGTCTGGAAGTGCAAATGACCAAAAGGGGATTTTTTTGTTATCGGGAAAACGCAGGATGTTTTTATTCATTTTGGGGTCACAATTAATGGGGTAAATATTAAATTTACGATGTTTTTGAAATGGTTACGTGTTTATTGTTATTTTAAAATATTTCACATGTATTAAATTTTTACTATGTCTGTTACTCTTTAAATTTAAGATCAAGGACTTTAGAATGACACAAAATACAAAAAAAGTTATACACGTGGGAAGGTCATGTGATGCATACTACATGTATTCAGTGTGTAGACCGGAGAACAAAAGATGTCCATATAACGTTTTCCCCTCTCCGTGTAAGAGTACAGTTACTGTTTAGATGACCATGATTAACCTTAGCTGTGGTACCTGTTGGTGTCAAGGAGTGTGTAGCTTTACTGAATTTAAAAGAGTGTGAGTTATATTAAGTACCAATATCTGTCCTACTTCATAACTAAGATCTTTGGAGGTCAAAAGTGATAAACTGAGTATGGCTCGACAAGTGAGTGATTGACAAAACTGTGTAATTAACAACATAATGGTGTCATCACCTCCTGTGATTAGATGCACACCAAGATGAAAGCCATCCATTCGTCAGTGATGTCAGTGGGAACTTTACTGTTGATTCATCTTGTGATCAGTCTGGTGCTGTAGGGGCTGACAAAAGCAGTGGTACAAGTAACAATGTCACTGTGACAAGTGAGAGTGACACCGACAGTGAGGAAGACTTTTGTGACTCCATGGACCAGCCAGACATGAATCAGGTAAGATGATCTGCTTTATTGGGTTTGTGCAGGAACTGACGAGGGAGCTCTTTGGTCTTTTTGTAAGTCTCAAAAGATGCCACTACAGGCATGGATCCAGGGGTGGAATAGGGGTCAAAAGTCCCTCCCTGCTCTGAGAACAAAAAAAAAAATTGGAAATAATAAAGAGTTAGTGAGGTAAGTGCACCATAACGATGTTTGTCATGTGTAATGTTTCATCATCGTTTCCGCTTGTCCATAAAAATGAGCCATTCAAAAATCTCTGGTCTGACACCACCCCCCCCCGGAAAAATTCCTGTATCCCCCCAGCACTACCTCAAAAAGATTTTGTTCAGTATCACTAAAGAACTGGCTGGGGTTTGTTTTGTATTGCTTCAGTACCGGTAACTTCATCTACTCTCGTTTCAGCTGCCTGAACTGGTGAAAGTCTCAGCCATTGAAGAACACCTTCAGCCAATTAGAGAAGAGCAGGTTCTCATGACTTCCACTCCACAGGTCAAGAAGATTATTGCCCAGGCTGAAGTCCATCAGGTCAACGGTGACTACCTCGAGAATGGCCACAGTACCGCTGATGACAACCCAGGAGATATGAATGGGGATGCACCCATAACAAGGAGACGAGGAGGTGGGGAAGTGGTTCCAGAAGGCAAAGGTCAAGGTGGTAGAGGTCAAAGTTCAGACCAAGGTGGCCAGAGAGGTTCTATGGGTGCAGGACGAGGTGAGTATAATAATGCAGTAATCTAATAGTGAGGCTGAATATTGTAATGCCACTGTAATGATATTTGACTGTCAGTAAGCATAGCAAAGAGCTTCATGCAAACTGTAATAATATAAAACTAATATAAAATTATCAATAAGGGGCATGCAGCCTAGCAATTGGGATTTTTGGCTACCAGTCATTTAGCCAGGGATTGGCATTGATTCAGTTTGGCACCTTGGCAAGTCACTTTACCCCTGCTTGCTTCTCTTCACTTAGGAGGACATGTACCTGTGAGGGTAGAGGCCATCTCATTATTAAGTAGTTACATAATGTTGACGCCAGGTTATATTAATCCAGAACCTAACCACATCAACAAACTGGAGCCAGTGTACTAATTCTCCATTGATTTGCTATGGTAAACTATCAGCTTGCCTTTCATTATGGGATGAAGCTGTTTTATCACTGAAGAAGTTTTTCACCTGTTCACAAATAAGAATCTCATTTGCTGACTTAACACAAAGCTCGAAGGCTCATCTCCACATTGAATAGCTGGAAGCTTTTCCCAGGTTTAAATACCAAAATGGACGTCTGTAAACAGTTCCTTACTATAACAAGCTTGTTTCTTTGCCCAAGGTCAAGATCAAGACACACCTGGTCGAGGCCGCACCCCATGGAGTGGGCAAGGCGGAGCACCAGGTGGGCGGGATTCTAGTAGTAGAGCAAACCGTAATCCGTCAGTTGATGTCAGTGAGCAGATTGTCATAGCTCTACAGCGATTACAATGTGATATGAGTAGCGTCTTGGCACGATTGAACACACTAGAGGCATTAGCACTCTCTCAAGCACAGCAGGTGGGTATGAAAATATAAAGATCACACCAGTTCTTGTCTAGGACAACAATTAAAAAAATCTTGAACCCTAAGAAAACGTTCAACTCCTGTGTTGCATTTCTTACATGAGATTCCCTTGCATGATGAGCTTGGGTGTCTAAATCTTGAAGGGATATATAATCTCTTTGTTTCCCTGTTTAGATATGAGACTCCGTTCATGAAGGCACTTTATGCATCCTTTGATCTTTATAAGATCATACAGGAAGATGTTTAAGTGCTTTGAGGTCCCTTACTATGAGGCTACAGTCTTTCATTCACTGATTTTATTTCTATCTTTGATGTTGTCTTGGTAATGTCTATTTCAGAGTCAGTCTGAGAGACAGTCTTCATCAGAGCATAGAAGTCAAGACACACCCTCAACCTCCTCTCATCAACGCTCCTGGCTCTCATGGATCTTTCCTCGCAACCTGCCAACAAGGACTGTCTTCTTCCTTCTCATCTGGCCGTTGATTGTCAACATAATCCTTGCCATGTGGAGGCGAAGACGTCACAGACACTTCCGACGATGACTGCGAGATGACATCCACTGGAGTGTTATCGGCCCTTTGGATTATTCAAAGGTGGTGCTCCTTTCCGTTGTACTTGCAACCAACCTTAAGAAGTAAGCTGCTTTATGGCTCAGAGGTTTGTGGATTCAAGGCTGGAAAATTTAAAGCAATGAAATTTTGCTTAGCTCCCAATGGAGCATTACTGATTGGTATGGCTCTCAGTTAGTCCGTTTGCATGCCCTTAACTGTTACTGCCAAAGAGAGTGCTTCAAAATTTGACTCGTGCCATTTGGAATGTTTCACGCAGGAATGTGGCACATTTATAGATAGAGTGAATGTACCATCCTCTTAATGTGATCAGACTGCTTCAAGGTGACCATGTCCAAGACATTCTTACCTCTACCTCCCATATCCAACAAAATCCACCAATTTGATTTAATAGGTTCAGGGTTGTGTAGTTAAGTCACTGTTACTGTCATGGAGCTTCTTGGCCTGTTTGCTTCTAACGTACAACAGACGTACACTTGATTCTGCTTAGTGTTATGTTTGAGAGAGTTGAGAATAGCCTCAGGCTAAAGATCAACATTGGTCACAATAAAGGTCCCAGACCATTCCCAGTGTTCGAAACATTCCGACTTGGAACACTCACTGTTACAATTATTTTGTTACAAGATTGCAATGAACTCAGTATACAGGAAACAATGTTATGCACAGAAAATTTGTGTCAAATGAGATTGGTGAAATTAAACACAACTCCAGTGAATAACTTCTGCACCTGATTTCTTCTCAGTTCTGCCGGAAATTGAAGGCAATAGTGTAGGTACAAGAAATTAAAGAATAGAGGAATCCTCCTTAATACAAGGAATGATAAGATTGCAAGGGAAACTTGTGCAGTCGTTGCTTGTTTTTATAAAAATCTTCAATTCTGAAATGAGATTTGGTGTATGAATGAAACGCCACACCAACATATTTCTTACCCAAAGTATCATACCTAGAGAGTGTGTGGGGAGGTTTATGGAGACTTCCCCCATTCCAAGTGAGTGACACTGTGTACCCGGTGACTCTACGTTGTTACTGTAATGAATACAGTGTATTCCTTATCTTTCATGAGATGACATTTCAATAGAGGAGGTGAGTTTGCCTCAACAAGCCAATTCATGCACATGTTAATTCTGTCCAATTTTACAGTCCCAGTTTAGGTCAGGCAAATGATACCCTCTGAAGTTTATCATCTACCCGTACATGTAGCTAACTTTTGTATTTTCCATTCTTTTATTTGCCAGTTGTGTCAGCATTTGAAAGCAGTTTCATGTTAATCACATGAACATAACCAAGAGGAGATAAATCTTATTTGATAAGCATTGTATATATTAATGCAGTTGATCAGAACATTTTGTAATATGACCAATAGAAACCATGATAATATAAAAACACCCCTTGGGCTGCATTCCGTGATATTGTCAATGGTAAAGGTGCATGCACTTTGATTGACTTCTGAAGGCAGTACGTGTCAAACCACAATGCAGTCCGTACTTTTCCAGCAAAAGAAGTTGTCCCCTTAACACGTTGAAGGCCTGGCCATGTATGTGTGTAAAAACATGTACTACACTACTGAACATATTCAAAGTTGCTACTTACATGTATGCCCTGAAGCCAACAATGTGTATAAAAATGCCATATTGACAACATTTTAAAGAAATAAAATGAAGCATTCTGTGGCAGAAAGAGGCATCCATAAGACATCCTACACACCCAAGTGTGTAAACACCTTCAATCGTGGACTCCCTATTGTTCCTCTTTTGTTCATACTCTAACTTTTTTGGAACACCTCACATATATATTTTGTACATGTTTTCCAACCGTGGACTCTTAGGCAACCGTGGACCCTATTGTCCCCTATTGTTATAGGTCCACGATTGAAGGCGTTTACACACTCACTACATACACAGTGGAGTCAAGGAGACACTGTGTGCTTGAAACCTGGAGCATTTGTATTCTATGAAATGTATTTCATATCATGTGTATGAGAAGGACACATTGATGCACAGTTATGTAAGTGCTTTTTTGAATGAGAATTCTTTGAAGTGTACAGAGCATCGTTTGTAATGCAGCCTTTAAAACAGTCAATAGTAATGATGATTGTCTTATTGCAAGTCTGATCATAAAATATTGACATAAGAGGGGACAACCCTGGCAAAAGAATGTCAACTGTTAAGTGAGCATGCTCTTTAGCACATGTATGCTTTCCAGTTAGGAAATGAACAGAAGTTCCGTACACTCACCAAAATTTCGCATCGCAGCACCATACAAAATGATAACTGATCTTGGTCAGCCCCATTGTCAAGTCAGCTTCAAGTTGACAGATTCTGTTCCTCTGTTTTATAACTTGAATATTCAGTTGTTAAATCCTGTAAGTATAAAAAATCTGTCGACCCAAATGCGCGTTTGGAAAGGAGGGACAGATGTCGCATGTTGTGATTGGCCAATGCGTTGCAAACCCTTAGGGGCACACTATTGTAAATTACCCATATTGTCCATCATGCCTTTCCTTTTCATAGGACATTAGAAATTCATTCATTGATGACATTGCCTTAATTGTGTACAATATTTACAATCCATTAAAATATGTCTCTGATCTATTCTGTGAAGGTTTTCACCAGTTTTCTCAAACGCATTTTATGGAAATTGAGTTGCTCCAAGGTAGAGTATTGAATGAAAAAATAAACAAAAATAAAATAGGTAATTCTGCAATCAGTTAGGAGGATGTATGAGATTGAGCTTGTAAATAGTTCTGTGTAAATCCATTGTAAATTTCGCAATGAATACATTTATTTCTAGTCACCATTCTGTTGAATAAAGCCATTGTAAATAAATCATCATAATACTCATTGCTTTTGAAATCCACATCTTCCTTAAAATAACTGTTTCTACACATGTAACCTGCAGTTTCAAAATGTTCCTTCAATATACCAATAGGCAAATAATTAAGCACACCGGAAAAAGCAAAACAGAAGCCAAGTTCTCAGTTTGTATCTTCTGATGAATCATTTATTTGTAATACTCAAAACAATTATTCACCAACATTGAACTACAGTACTACTGGACTGACACATTTCAATTAAAAAGTATTCTCCAAAGTCAGAGAAATAGCTCACACTACTCCACTACGGTCTCCAATTTTTATAAGATCAATTTCATGTACAGCTCTCCAAAAAAGTTAAGGTTGAAGATTTACATTATCTCCCTGAAATTACGTACAGTTATTTGCAGTGTGGTTTTCATTAAAAAAATGGTCCTGAACTTGGAAATAATGAGCCAGTGATGATCTCAAGTTTGCCTAAATGAATTGTTTGATCTAACAAACGTAATACTGGTTCCTAGTCATTGCAAAAGATCTAAATTCTAAAAAATGTTTCCACAATTGGTTACCATACCCCAACATAAAAACCCTGTTTGAACGGTTAATACAACTACAACAAATCTGACCCATAATTTGGTTTTCTTTTGAAATTAATTTGGCTAATCAAGGTTGATTGCCCATTCAGGTCACGGTATAACTAGCACACAGATTTCAAGTAAAATAACCATTTTTACATAAATGCAGAATCAATAGGGATGACAGTCAAGTCATCGTGCTTTGTTCTGCACAGCATCAATAAATAACTTCAATGTGTTAATAAATAGACAGGCAAGACAATACACACTTGGCTAGGGTAACAAGAACCACTAATGTCTGAAGCAAATGCAACAATGCTGGCGGGACAAATACTGAGAAACTTACGTACAATTGGTGTCTTTGTACCAGTTGAAAATATTGACACTTAATATTCAGGGTTTAATATATCAATGTCAATAGTTAACCCAAACAGGGCCAAATCCTCCAATTTCAATATGATTTTAAACACACACCCTGAGGAGTCAGGGTTAATTAATTGTGAGTAAATTACCAGTTCTAGAGCCAAAAATGCTCCTTGATCAAAGGTATTTTGTGAAATTTCAGGGAAATGTTGATTACAATCATCACTCATAATTGATCAATATTGCTTACCATTAATAACCTGTCACAAATTGATCATTTTCATCCATACCATAAACAGTTCCTTTGTTTCCAAGTCTTCAGTGCCGAGTCTTATTCTCAAAAAAGGCCAACAAGCCCAATAAGACAATGCTAGCACATCTTTTTGCTCCACTGCTTACAAGTTGGAAATTTCATCCCAGCATTGAAAAATGATGCTATGCATGTCTGTCCATATGTGTATTACTTGTTAACAATCTTCCAAAACATTTCCTAGTCTAGGACTAGTGGCTAGTCTACTGTCAGTTTACATTCACACTATTTGATTGACTACAAACATGCCAAAGCCAAGTTTCAAGATGAAACTACATCAATTATCACCACTTCATCCTGACACACTTCTATATGGGCTATAACCCCTCCACACAAATATTTGTCTAGCCCCTCCCCTCGCGTACACCTCTTATATCGTGACTTTAAAACAACTTTGAATACCAAGTCCTTTATTATTTTTAAGATGATCTTGAAGGTAGATGACCAGATGGTGACTGTGTTAATGCCAAACAACTCTTTGAACTGAGCCAAGTGTTTGACCACCATCTTGTGATACATGTTCATTTCTCAAATCACAAACATACTTCTTCAACAAAAATACAATCTCACTCTCCTTTTCATCCTTTTCATATTTTTGACTTGTTCTAGGTTTATCTTCTCTACTAAAAGCAATCGCTGCAGCAACAATAAACTATATCAGAGCATTTTAAATGTTGACAACTACAAACATAACTAACACAACTTATTTTAAAGACATAGAAAATGACAAGTTATGTAAGATGAAGCAAACACTGCTGATCATGAAAACTAAATGCAGTTCACTTGTGATGACACACAAACAGCATTTCGACAAGCTATATACAATTTATTCATGTCTTATCTACAATCAATTGGCGAGGCACAGTTCTTTATAATGAAAGCAGAGCAGCTGGTAACTTTTACCCTGCCACATTAAAAAAGTCTAACCACTAAGCACTAATTTGCATTATAAAAATTCCCTTCCTCAGAAAAATGATCTCTTTCCACACTTTCTTAACAACTTACAGAACCACATGTAATGACGAAAATGTTACAAATCAAAGCAATACATGTAAATGAGATCTTCACCTTAAGAATGCTGATTTGATATATTGGTTTGCTGAAGGTGCAGAGTTAGTTGAGTCTGAAGCAGTTGAGTATGGGTTGGAGTAACCCAGGTCGTAGAGAAGTGTGTCCAATCAATAACCAATCACCTGTTGTTTCTGACCTTCAGTCCTTACTATCAACCACAACTTAAAACACTTCCAAACTGGTCTAAAATTTCTGGTGGACATCCACCCACCCCACTTGAAATGTTGTCTGGCACAAAAGAAGTATAAACACTATGGATTAGCTCCTTTTATTTAGTTCAAATCCTGAAATTATTGTTTCACATAAAAATGCCAATAAAATGAGGATGTGCAAAGGAGTTAAGAGATATAAAAAATATATAAATTATCAAGCAATTCTAACTGTATGAAGCATAACTACTTATAAGTTTCTTTCATTTGTTTTAACACAAGACAGCTTCTTTTTCAAATTTTTATACAAAATTTCTGTAATTACTAATTATTTCAATAAATACAAAACATCACAGTAAATTCATCAGAGAAACACCACATACTCAACTAAAGTTAGAGGAATTACACCAGAGGATTGAAGTTTATACTCCAAGCCGTTTGGACACTTCATTTATTTCAAACACCACTGAAATTGTCCTTGTTGTAACATTCATGAATACAGGCATATAACTGGGCAAAACACTTTTTTCCCATTTCAACATTTTGTGGAATTGGTTAAAGTGGAGGGTGAAAGGCCAGCTTAATTAGTATGAGCTTTTTCCCTGATGAAGGCAGAGAAAAGAGAGTAATACACAGTGGAAAAAAGAAAAAAAAAAGGATTTTCTGTGAAAGTTTTGAATACTGATTACATCACAATACACATCGACTGAGCGACTGACTTTAGCACACTGCTTCTATTATACTGCACTAATTTCACCATACTATCTTGATGCTATCTTACAATAATCTCAACTCTGGCTCTGTCTTATTGCTTTCATATCATCTCTGCAAATTCAATTTGAGATTCAGAAGCATTTGTTTATCATCTCAACAGGATTTGTGGCATGCGACTCTGTTTTTGCCAATTATAAAATGATGGCAAAGATTCATTACAATTCTTAAAATTTGGAAACTTGAAAGTGACAAGCACTTACCTATTGTAACATCCACGTTGACCTTCTCGTAAGTGTAATCTGACACTAACAATACTTTGATGTGGATAGGAGTACGTAAACAGAGGGAAGACACCACTAATATCCCGATCAAATTGCTTCTGTTATTGTATTTAAGAAATGTTCTTCCTCTGAGGTTTAATCCATGGCATATCATTACAGCTTTAATGCATGATGTCATGACAGCTCTGATGTGACATGTCCCTGACAACTTTGACATATGTGTAGGGCATATTATGACAGCTTTGTGTGTGTCACGTTGTGACATCTGTGATGTATTTTAAACTTGCTATCATCGTCACAATGGCTGTCCCATCATGCTGCTGCAATGCTCAGTGTAACTCCCAGAAGGTAATGCCACTTTGTTTCAGACTCCTCTGCAGGTGGATATAACGTCACAATATGTGCAAAGTGTGTCTCTCCAAGCAAATGATGAATACACTGAATACAGCAGACAGAAACAAATTATTCAAACTTCCTTTCAAGAAATGGCTTATTTCATCACAAAATGTCCTCCCTTTCACCATCTCAAACAGACGCCAATCATTGGCCTTCTTTGCTTTACATGATAGGTATGGTATTCTAGAAATCTTTTACACTTATAAAAATTTACACAAGGTTTTTTTCCTTTCTTTTTGTTTGTTTTTTTTTTAATTGCGTTCGGTTTCAGAGTATTTTTCTGCCCAGAAAAGCACACATATGGCTGTTGTTTCTTCCTTATGTACACCTGTTGTTCAAAGAGATTGCAGAGGATACATTCTGGTATGCCTAGCCTTCAATAACTCCAAGTTACAGGGTACCTCTAGCAATCTTAATTCAACATCCATCTTAGTTTACTCCTCCAAGTCTCTATCTCCACCCACTCTCCCCCACCACTCAGCAATGAGTGATCACCTGCCAGCTACGTAGACTGTTCCTGAAGGATATCTGCCCATCTACTCTCAAAGAATGCCCTCATCTCATGGCCAGCTCTCCCAACATCAGAGTCATCTTCGTTAAAAGTCTCACAGTTGTCAAAGACCACACGGACGTCAGCAGCAAACTCATCACGATGGTGGTAACTGAGGATAAAGAACATTTTGGACCAAATAATTTTCTTCCAAATTTACCTTTATTTTTCCATTTCTCTAAGTTTACGGAATTTGGTTTAGGAATGCATTTTAAATTTGACCTCCCCCCAAAAAACAGCATGCAACTTGAAAAAAGTTCTGCATAAATTTAATTGACAAATGATATATCTAATTACAACACACTTAGGTATTCCCATTCAGATCAAATACAGTGGAACGCCGCTATACCACACCCCGCTATACCAAACCCCGCTATACCAAACCCCGCTATACCAAACCCCGCTATACCAAACCCTGCTATACCAAACCCCCCTATACCAAACCCTGCTATACCAAACCCCGCTATACCAAACCCCGCTATACCGAACATTCGGCTGTACCAAACATCCTCCTTGGCTCCCAATAATTTGTGCACAGATTCTACCAAACACTATTCAGTTGCCGTTTGTAATTCCCGAACGTCAACATGATAAAAAAGTCAGTGTTTTTTAAGTTGAAAAGTGACAAGTGGCCATTATTTCCCCAAGGATTAGAAGGGAAAGTCACTTGTTGTCAACGGTATTGAATAGACGCTGGTTTTCATCCAATGATTTGTGTCTAACTTC